GATTGATGCCTACCTGATTGAGCTTTCATAACATTCCTAATAGTAAGGGTTCAGAGAACTTCTAGGGCGTGAACATGTGAAGGGTATGGAAGCTCCCACACCCCTTAACACATATCTTGACCTACTCATGTCTACCATTTGGATGTCCCTTTATTATATCCTCTTATATTAAACCACTAAATGTAACTAAAATGTTTTTCTGAGTTTTGTAAGTCACTGTAGCAAATTAAGTGAACCTGAGGAGGGGATCGTTGGAAGCTTCAACTGTACAGCTGGTTGATCAGAAGTCCAGATGACAATCTGGGTTTGGGACTGCCACCTGAAGTGGGGGTGGAGGACAGTCTTATGGGACTGAGCCCTTCCCTGTGAGATAGTGTTAGAATTGGGCTACATTAGAGGTCACCCAGCTGATGTTGTGGGAGAATTGTGTGTAGGGAAAATCCTCCACACGTTGGTGACCTGAAGTAAAGTGTTTTGTGTGAATAGGAAAGGAGACTGACAGGAAAGAAAAAATGTAGGAGGAAGAACTGTTTATTTTTTTTCCCTACAAAGGAAGGAAAAAGCTGAGTTTTTTTCTTTTTATCCATATTTTTAGTTTTTATACACATTTAGAATTTCTCCATCTTCTTGGAAAATGAGGGTGTTGTCTTTGGATCTTGCACAGAATGCTTGAACTGACAATCAATAAATACAATTTTTACCATTAGATTTTGTACCTTGAAAATGTTATTTGATTTCTTAGCTTCGTCAGTTAAACAAAAAAGGTGAACCTACAAGGTATATTATCGCTTTATTCTCTGGTTTTCTAAAATACACTTATGAATTTACTTCAGCTCCTTCTTTTTTTTTTTACTGTTCTCTAATTTGCTCTATTCCTCAAAATTGCATATTCCAAAGATAATTTCTTATGGGTTCAAGTCAGCCCTAATTTTTAAAAGAATCTTAATAAGATCAGTAGCCCTCATTGTCCAGTCAGTTACTTAGACCACAGTGATATTTCCTGAATGTTAATTCAGTGAGTCAGCTACTGATTCTGGTTTTTTCACTGGACCGTTTCTTTCCTAATCCTTCCTTCCCAGGTAAAACTCTGAGACAGTGTGCTTGCATTTGGTCCTTAGACATTTTGATGGAGAAAAGAAGGATTGAAAGGTATAAATATTCATTATATTATTATTGTCTTCCAAAATCTATGATAACCACTTTAAATAAATTATCTTTGTAACTTTTTCTATACCTTTTTGAAAGTAAGTCATAGGTATATATATACAATGGAATATTATGCAGCCATCAAAAGGAATAAAATCTTGCCATTTGCAACAATGTGGATGGAACTGGAGGGTATTATGTTGAGCGAAATAAGTCAATCAGAGAAAGACATGTATCATATGATCTCACTGATATGAGGAATTCTTAATCTCAGGAAACAAACTGAGGGTTGCTGGAGTGGTGGGATTGGGAGGGATGGGGTGGCTGGGTGGTAGACATTGGGGAGGGTATGTGCTATGGTGAGCGCTGTGAATTGTGTAAGACTGTTGAATCACAGACCTGTACCACTGAAACAAATAATGCATTATATGTTAAAAAAAAAAAAAAAGGAGAAGATAGCAGGAAGGGAAAAATGAAAGGGGGAAATTGGAGGGGGAGACGAACCATGAGAGAGAGAGAGACTCTGGACTCTGAGAAACAAACTGAGGGTTCTAGAGGGGAAGGGGGTGGGGGGATGGGTTAGCCTGGTGATGGGTATTAAAGAGGGCACGTACTGAATGGAGCACTGGGGGATGTTATACACAAACAATGAATCATGGAACACTACATCAAAAACTAATGATGTAATATATGGTGATTAACATAACACAATAAAATTTTAAAAATTAAAAAAAGTCACGCACACACAAAAGAAGTAAGTCATAGGTGTAGAGTTTGAATATCGAATTCACCAAATGTTGGGATGAAATTTTAGATGTATCTAACTAAAATCCATACTCTCTTCAAACCATGTTAATATCCCAAGTCAAATCTTTTATAATAATACTTTCTTTGCTCCATTATTCTGACCCAGTTTTACATTCTCTTCTTAGTTTCTGTTGCATTACTGACCACTAGAGATCTCCCCACTTTATGGAAAGCTAAACCCCTGCCTCTAAATCTTGCCTATGTGGTACCTGATCTCTGTTCTTGCTTTCTCTGTTCTCAACGGTGCAGAAGCATGTGGTGAGTTGATCTTACTCTTCCATCAATATTTCTTCTAACTACAGGTTATTAACTGATCCTATAGGTTCCCTGAATCTGTCCCTAAATCCTGAATTTATGAAGTCTGAGGCCTACTCAACTAGCAATGGTCATTGGATTTTGGGATCAGCAGCCATATCTAAAAAACTTCCGTTCACATACCTCCATCTCTCAGGACTAGTATGGATTAGAGGGCGCCTGGGTGGCTCAGTTGGTTAAGCAACTGCCTTCGGCTCAGGTCATAATCCTGGAGTCCCGGGATCGAGTCCCACATTGGGCTTCCTGCTCAGCAGGGAGTCTGCTTCTCCCTCTGACCCTCTTCCCTCTCGTGCTTTCTATCTCTCATTCTCTCTCTCTCTCAAATAAATAAATAAAATCTTTAAAAAAAAAAAAAGGCTAGTATGGATTAGGAAAAACAATGCTGGACAATAAAAAAAGAAACTGAATGACATATATGTTGTTCAGATTTGCAGCCAACACATCTTTAGAACAAATGCATCTAAATCTTCTAGTAATAAATCGTGATGAATATATGGATTTGGGGAATGTAATAAAAGAAAAGTTTATATAGTAAATGTTATAGTAAATGTTATATAGTAAATGTTTCTTGCTTTTTTTCTTCATTGCTATACTGAGAGATTTAAAAAAAAAATTAACATTTCACCGTTCTGTTGGAATTAACTACAGCCTTGGCTCAACTGTTGTTACTGAAATAGAAATATACTGGATAGACAAGTGTTTATGTTCTTGAATATCAGAAGCAAGAAACCAAAGAGAATTATCAAAAGGAAAAAAATTAGATTGACTTTAAATGATCTTTCTTTTTTTGAGATCTATAATAAAAAATCAAAGCTTTTTTCTCCCTTTGTCTTTTACTTGAGGTTATCATATAAGAAAAGCAATCAATATGAGAACATTAACAGAATAGGGAGCTATAATGAAAAAATTATGTTGACAAATTAAAAAAAAGTATTTATCTTTGGATAGATAAATAGATGCATATACCTATTTTTAAAGGTATAAATTTCCTTTTTAAATGTTACTTGTGGGGACACCTGGGTGGCTCAGATGGTTAAACATCTGTCTTCAGCTCAGGTGGTGATCCCAGGGTCCTGTGATTAAACCCCACATCGGGCTCCCAGCTCAGCAGGGAGTCTGCTTCTCCCTCTGCCTCTGCCTCTCTCCCCTTCTCATGCTCTCTGTCTGTCTCTCTCAAATTAATAAATAAAATCTTTTTAAAAAATGTTACTTGCAGGGTGCCTGGGTGGCTCAGTTGATTAAGCATCTGACTCTTGGTTTTGGCTCATGTCATGATTTCCCTATGGTGAGCTCGAGCCCTGCCCATAAGGGGCTGGGCACTCAGCATGGAGTCTGCTTCAGAGTCTCTCTCCCTTCTCCCTTTCCCTCTTCTTTTCCTCCAGTTCATGTGCTCTCTCTAAAATAAATAAAAAATATTTTATTTATTTATTTTAGAGAGAGAGCAGGAGTGGGGAGACGGACGGAGGGAGAGAATCTGAAGCAGACGCCCCACTGGGCACAGAGCCCGAGGCGGGCCTCCATCTCACGACCCATGAGATCATGACATGAGGCAAAATCAGGAGTTGGTTGCTCAACCCAACTGAGCCACCCAAGCACCCCAATAAATAAAATCTTAAGGAAAAAAAATGTTATTTGCGTTGATTTTTTCATACAGTAATTATTTTATGTGTTTACCTAATAGTTATTTATTAAGGGTCTTTTATTGTAGAAATCGCTCCAAGTTATACAGAAACTCAAATCTCAGGGACCCTGTGGGAAGCTTATCATGTACACAAATTTCAAAGCGTTTCACCATGTTCATCATTTTCATGGGACAGACACTGCTTGTCACAGGACCACAGCTCTTTCAAATGTCATGAAACCCAGTCTCTCTGTTTGGACATATTTTTTTAGATTGGGGAAGTTGACAGAATATGGTTGCCACATAGGTCACAGGGCTTAACTATTTTAGGGACATAGGTAGATGGAACATTGGTTGAAAGGACTCTGTTATAAAAGCAGGTGTTGACAGAAGTCCTGTGCCAGTCAGAAGGACAACAGATATGTCTTCTCAACACAACATGTATGGGCATGTTCACTCTAACAAGAACAGAGGATCTATTGGCATTAGCTCAGGAGCCATTATGCTCTGGGACCTGGAGTCCAGTAGCCTTATGAGTGCAGGCTCCTTTCACTCCAAGAGCTACTCTGGATCTGTTCTTCTTCTAGATCCTAATCCACTCTACTCCCTGCTCCCAAATAATCCTAACCCCTGAAGACTGGGTACATGAATTGCTTTTCCTCTCCTTTCTCCTTAATCTGTTGTTTAGTATCTCCTAACTAATCTGTTTTCTTTGGGATTATTTTTTTTCCCTGGCAAATCAAAAAACTTCAAGTTTTACTATTTCCATGTGTTTTCAAATAATTATTTCTAATGTTAAAAAGGATAGTAAAGCAATATTTATTGTTTCTTTCTCATTGGTTTCTTGATAAAACAATTCTGTTTCTCTGGATAGGCGATGTGGGTGTGTCTGACCCACTACACCTGCAGTAATTCACCTTGGAAGGCATTTGGAATATGTGTGAAGTGGCTTTGGTTTCCAAAATGACTAGGTCTTTTATTGGCGTTTAGTGAGCGAGCGTAAGGAAATCTAAAAATCCTGAAGTGTGGACCACAGAAAGAGAAAAATTCTCCCACCCAGAATAGCAATAGGACCCTGTTAGAAAACATTAAAAGAGAGAAGCTGAGAGGACTGCGCGTCCCCGTCCTGTCGGCGCCGTCATGGCGGGTTTGCTGAAGAAGACCACTGGCCTTGTGGGATTAGCTGTATGTGAAAGTCCACACGAGAGGCTAAGAATATTGTACACAAAGATTCTTGATGTTCTTGAGCAAATTCCTAAAAACGCAGCATATAGAAAGTATACAGAACAGATTACCAATGAGAAGCTGAGTATGGTTAAAGCGGAACCAGATGTTAAGAAATTAGAAGACCAACTTCAGGGTGGCCAACTAGAAGAGGTGATTCTTCAGGCTGAAAATGAACTAAGTCTGGCCAGAAAAATGTTACAGTGGAAACCATGGGAGCCTTTAGTGGAAGAGCCTCCTGCCAACCAGTGGAAGTGGCCAATATAATCATCATTGAATGACTAGTGTGTTCATGGGAAATGGATGTAATTAAATGTTCTGTTATATTAAAAAAAAAAAAAAGAGAGAAGCTGCTTATAGGAATTGTAGTAAAGAAAAACACAGCAGTACATTTTGCAGAATATTTCCCTACCTATCATAGTAATTCTAGTATAATGGAGAACACTAGAGATCATTGTAGATAGGATAATTTGTAGAGATTAAAAGAGGTAGAAATTCACTTACTTCATCTAATAGAATGGTGGAATAGCTCATGGAAAGTATAAATTTAGAATGTTGTTGGTAAATAGAGAGTTCTTATTATGTACTAGGTTAATGATGAGAAACAGCAGACATGCTTTATAAACAGAGATCTTGCACAGTGCTGATTGTAGGTGCTCTGTAATTTTTTTTAAAGTTTTTATTTTTAAGCAACCTCCATACCCAACATGGGGCTCAAACTCACAACCCCAATATTAAGAGTCGCATGCTCCACTGACTGAGCCAGGCAGGTGCTCCTGTAATTTTTAAAAATGACATGCATTAACTAATAAAAATATTATTAAGAATAAGTTCTGGTATACACACATAAAAGTGAAATGTTTCTAAGTTTATAATATAAGATACTGAAAAATATGTAGCATGGTATTTTGGAGAGCTATTCCTCTTTTTAACCAGCTATTTAGTTTACTTGACACAAAATACAATGCTGTAATTTTCTGTTACTGCTGAAATTTTCTTTTTATTTCTTTTCTTTTTGTTTCTCTTCTTTAAAAGATGATAATCTAGCTCTTTCTTTTATTGAGGTTAACTTCCAGCTATTGAATAGTTGGTTAATTATTCAATGCACTTTTCTTCATTTACTAGAACATGTTCAAATAGCGCTGAAATAATTCTATAGCATAAGTTAGATTTGGAACTGGCCAGATCAAACCTTTACCAATTAAAACAAACAAACAAACAAACAGGACCATTAAAAAAAAAAGTCAAGTGCCAAATGCACTTTTCTGGAGGACTATTAGCAACTTGATTGTCAAGCAAACGGCGAATCCTTTAGGAGGTAGAATGTGAGGATAGATTTTGTGTACTTGTTTTCAAACCAAAAAAAACCTTTTTATCCAGTTATGGTTCCTTTATATACTGAAAGTTTAATATTCCTAATTGTGTTATATTTTAGCACATTTGAGCAAACACTGGACAACACAGAAACACAGAAAAAGTCTGTATCTAACATGTATAAGGTGTATTCTGCAGTTCCTATTTCACTATCAGAAGCAAGGAAAACTGAAAAGAAGCAAAAAGTTACAATATCGTAAGAAGTAACAAAATGGAGATATAGAAACAAATATGTACTCGGAATCAGGCAGCTTGGGTTCCCATTCTGGATCAGTCAGTAACTGAATCTTGACCTCATGCTTCTCTTTTGTAAAAGTATGTTGAAATGTTAAAATAGGGGCGTCTGGGTGGCTCAGTCAGGTGAGGGTCTGACCCTTGATTTCAGCTCAGGTCATGATCTCAGCGTCCTGAGATGGAGGCCTGCCTCCTCCGGCTCTCGCGGGCATGGAGCCTGCTTAAGATTCTCTCTCTCCTCTCCCTCCAGGTCTCCTTCGCCCCTCTTTCCTCTGTCCCGTATACCCGCATGCACTTTCTCTCTCTCTAAAAATAAATAAATTAAAAAAAAAAAAAGTATGTTGAACTAGAGAATGTCTTAAGATTCTTCTAAGACTGAATGCTTATGCTTCCATATTTAATTAATTGTAACTAATTAAAAAGAACTCGAGTGGCCCGAATTTTCTGGACTATCATGGCACATATTCATGACGTAATCCATAAGTTAAATTTACTTTCTCCTTTCTGTCCACAATTTGAACATCACATGTATTATATTAGAATTATTTTTACATGTTCATTTACTCTCAGTGGATTTTGAGTTTCTTGAGGGCAAACAGATAATCAACTTCTAATGTTTATATCTAGCACAGTGGCATATAGTAACTGCTTACTCAAAACAAACTGGACTAATACAAGAACTGTAATAAAGTCATGCATGAAAATAAAAATTATTCTCAGGTCGAGAATTTGAATATTCCTTGATGTTGACCATAATTTGCCTAAGATTGTGGTAATTCCTATATCAAGTACTACAAGAAGCTCCGTTTCTTTTTGCTGGTGTGTTTTGTTTTGAAAGAATAATTCAGCATTTATCTTGTTAGTTGTTCCTGAACAGTAATGAAAGACTGAGATCAAAATAAGTAGTGGTTAAGCTAAAGAGAAGACCACTACATCCACAGAGAGATTAGGATTTCACATTGTTTTTACCCATTGGAAGACAGGAAAAGGGCACTGATTATCTGGCAGTGGTTTAGTTTGAAAGCCATTTCCATAATGCATAGACATTTGTTTACACAGCTTGTTTTGTCCTTGTATTTTTCGTAAACCAAAATTATATATCAAAAGCAGATTGTTGTAGCATCAGTGTATTATAAAGCTTGCTTTCCAGTTTTGGTAATTGTAGGACTGATTTCTAGCTCATTTGTTATCATAGCAACACCCATCACCAGTTTCCCAGAAATGGAAGTGGAGCTGGCAAAGTGTTCACAAGTGATTTTATTCCCCTATTGAGTATAGAAAATATAGTCATACATTTCAAACTGCTATAATTTTGCTATAATTTTACCAGAGTTGTCATACAGAAATATGCTATGTGAAGGATCTTGGTGAATGGCTCCACGTTGAAAAGAAATATTTGCCAGCTGCAGTGAATATTGACATATCTTATTAACCTTAACCTGTAAAAACACCTCTTTCTCTGACACTCAAATTGGAGATCCTCCATGTGGGTCAAGATAGAGTGGAAGACAAGGATTATGAGCAAAAGTGAAAGTGTGCCAACCCCAAGCAAATATTTCAAGAGGCATTCTGTGGTTTTGGCAGATCCTGCTGTTTTCTTAATGCCCCAACAGTGGTATGTCCTAAAAAGGAGTTTTTCTTGGACTGGACCCTAGAATAAGAAGATCTGTGGAACAGGGTAGCCAGTCTGCGGCAACTGATATGCAACATACAAAAGTAATATTTGTTGCTGTCAGCCACTGAGATTTTTGGGGTGGCTTATTCTTACAGATGATTCTGACTCAGAGCCTGGATTCCTTACATTATGATAAGAGGGGCCAACTTAAATTGTATAAATATTTTCCTCAACTTCAGCTAGAAAGAACAACAAAGAAAAAAAAAAGCAAAGAAAAAAAAGAACAACAAAGAAATTGATTTTTTTCAAGATTTTTTTTATTTCTATCCATGGAAAAATAAAGGATGAAAGTTTGAGGCCTTGAAAGTTTGAGGCCTTGGCAGTTAAACTAATAAGAAGATAGGGCACACATAATATCCAAGGCAAATACAAGATTTGTCTTTCCTTATGTGCATGATATATTTTCATTATTTTTAGAGTTTTTATTTAAATTGCACTTAGTTAAGATATAGTGTAATATTAATTTCATTATTTTTTTCAAGTGTGGCCTAATTTTCTTTTTTCTCTTAATTTCTTATTTAACTAATTTAGAAATAGGTTGTTTAATTTCCAAATATTTGGAATTTTTTTTCCTAATTTAATTCCTGATGGTAAGAGAATATTTCAAATTTTAGTATTTGTTTTATGGCCCCAGGTGAAGTCTATCTCGGTGAATGAATAATGTATGCAGTTGAAAAGTGTGGATTCTACAATGGTTGACTGTATTAGCCTATAAATGTAAATTAGATCAAAGTGGTTGTTCATCTTTTTTATCTTTACTCCTATCCCTCCCCCTTTTTTTCTTACTGAGAGAGGAGTGCCTCAAATCTCTATTTTGAATTTGCTTATTTTTTCTTAAATACTTCTATTTTTTATTTATTTATTTATTCATCAGAAAGAGAGAGAAAGCAAAAACTGGGGAGAGGGTCAGAGGGAGAGAAAGAAGCAGACTCTCTGCTGAGCAGGGAGCCCGATGAGGGGCTCAATCCCAGGACCCCAGGATCATGACCTGAGCTGAAGGCAGACGCTTAACCTACTAAGCCACCCAGGTGCCCCTTTTAAATACTTTTAATTTGTTCATGTTTTTGGAAGCTCCATTATTTGGTGTATACACATTTATGATTTCTAGTCTTCCAGACAAATGTATTCTTTTATTATTATGAAGTATTAAATTTACCTCTGGTAATACTCTACATCTTGAAGTTTATTTATATTATGCTATTATTGCCACTGTAGCCTTCTTAGGCTTATTGTTTGTATGGTCCATCTTTTTTTATTGTATTTTCATCCAGTGATTTTATATTTAAAGTACATCTCTTTAACACCAATGACTGCTTTGTTTATGATTTTTTCTTGATAAACACTATTTTATAGTCATCAAACTAATGCAGTTTGACTGTAACTGTTAGTAATTTATAATACCATACCAGAGGAACCCTAGTTGTAGGACAGACAGAAAAAATAATAAGGAAGAATTAATGTTCTCTCTCACTTTCCCTGTCTTTCTTTCCCTCTCTCTCCCTGTCTCTTCCTCTCTTTTTCTCTTTCTCTCTTTCTGTCTTTCTCTGTCAGTGTGATTCTTGCTTCTGAGACATTCCTGGACTTAGAAGGAATTCAGACCTTTGAAAAGAATCATATTCAGAAATATTTTGTCGTGTACTCAACTGTCACTAGTTGGTAATGCGATTATTCAGTTGTAGACATTTTGACTATGGATTTATATACAATTAATATTTTCCTTCATGATAAATTGTGTAAGTGAAAATGCCAAAAGATTACATGTATGTATGTATTAAGTATATATTAGATTAAGGTATATAGACATTTCATTAAATGCATTTTACTTTAAAATGAAATTATTTCTCAATTAATTAATATTGTATTAGCCTAAATATTTTATTTTCCTGAAACTAAGGCTTTTTTCCCTGACATTCAGTTGAGATCAAAAGCATATTTCTAAGTAATATTCAGGTTCCAAAATAATATACTAATATTTCCACTTATTATTTCTCTCAGTAAATGCTGCTAGATGAATATGTTTGAATGGAATCATTATGTTGTGAGGCTTTATGTTATATTA